CACTAATGCAAGCAAGCCTCCTGCTTGCTTCAGCTGCGTGCCTGCCGGCTGCCATTTTGTTGGCGGTTGATTTGCATATTGCCTTGATTAGCCAATGGGAAGTGTAGCGAAGGATACCGTGTTTGTCTTTTATTAGATAGGATATGCTAAAGGCTGCTCAACCGCTCACTATGATATGCACTGACCACCAGGGGGCTGACAGTTGACTGGTCGACCAGTCGTTATGATGTGCACTGGCCACCAGGGGGGCAGATGCTCAACGCAGGAGCTTCCCCCTGGTGGTCAGTGCACTCCCACAGGCGGAGCGCTGCTCAGCCGGAAGCCAGGCTCACGGCTGGCGAGTGCAGTAGTTGGAGCCTCTCCTGCCTCCGTGGCAGCGCTAAGGATGTCTGACTACCGTCAGTCGGACATCCCCCGAGGGCTCCCAGACTGCAAGAGGCCAGGCTGAGAGATCCCCCTGAGTGCATGAACTTTGTGCACTGGGCATCTAGTATAGTTATAATGCACCATATATCTCATTCATTATCAATATAAGAGCAATTTGTACCATTAGTGCTTCCTGGGGAACAAAGCACCCTGTTTCTCATCATTGCCACCATGTGCCACAGCACTTGACTTGCCCAAAGGGCTCGGCTCTGCCCCTTGGGAACCCTGCACCCTCCCCCTCACTTGCACTCACACCACCCAGGGGTCTTCAAGTCTACGTCCAACCCCTCCACGGCCAGCTGGCAGACCCAGGTGGCTGACAAAGGGCACCCTGTTGTCCTGGGCTGCTCCTCCGTCACCTGGGTGCCAGGGTGTCTGGTCCCTCTGTGCCCACCCCCCGGGGGGAGCCGGGAGAGCCTGTTCCCAGGTCGGGGAGAACGGCTCCTGGGCCCAAGGGCAGTGGAACGTATCCGGCTCCTGGTGTATTTGATCCTCAAACAAATCCCTGTATTTATCAACAAGTGTAAGTTTGCAAAACGAGTACTCAACGTCTTAGGAGATTAAAAATAGCTGACAGCAGCAAGCCGGGATGACAGCGCTAGCTCAGTTTCCTCCTACCTAGAAAATGTCTCCGCTTCATGCGCTTATTACTGGATGACAAACGAGGGGAAGCCGGGCTTCTGGGAGGCCTGGGCGTGGTGGCCGCGCCGTGGGCCCGCCGAAGGCTGCCAGCTTCGGCGCTGGCCCGGGGCCCACGGCAGGTCAGCGTCTCCTCATCACTCGGGGATTCCCCGCGATCTCCGAGTCAACATGACAATTAACTGCTGCTTCCAAGCCAACACTGGGCTCCACGTGGGGGAGTTCAACGCCCATCGTGAGCACACCCGGCCCATCTCACTCGGAAACCATCTTCGCTGGAACATTTGTCAAGTGTCCAATTAGCCAGTGAGGGAAAGGCATGCACTGAGGGGCAAGTGTGGCTCCCTGGGCAAAAGGCAAAAGGTCACGCGGGGATATCTGCTTTAGGAGGCAGCTGGTGACGTGGGCGGGGAGGTGGGCGGGGGTGCGGGGAGGCCGTGGGAAAGGGCTCCGGGGATCTTGTCTGTGTCCTGGGCTGGAACTTGGGGCCAGCTCCGCCTAACTCGTCACTCTCTGGGGCATCTGTTTTCCTAAAAGCAGGACTGCCCCGAAGGCGTGTCAGAAGCGCATTTCCTGGTCTGTGCGGGATGGAGGGAGAAAGGGGGCTCCCAGGTGTGTAACCCCACACTTGGTAGGGACACAGAGGCACAGCCATCAGAAGGGCACACATTTGGGCCAAACGGTTCCTGCTTCCCCTTAAATTCTAGCGAGTCCAGTCCCAGTGCCTTCCCGCCAGCTCAGCCCTGCCTGTGCCTCCCACCCCTGGTCTCAGGCCTCCCACCTGTCTGCCACCAGGAGGGGCTGCCGGCACAAGAGTGTCCCATGTCAGCGCTGGCAGTTGTGGGCCTTCTACCTCCCCTCCCCAGTCCTCTCTGCTGTGTCAGAAGAGCCTGGGCATCGCCATACAAACGTCCAGGCTCTAGTGGCTCGGGGGGTGGGTGTTGGGAAGGAGGAGCAGCGAGATTTTAGCTTTTGGTGAATTTCAGAGGATGCCCCCCACCCCCGTGTGACCGTGGCCCCATCACCTCTCCACGTGGTCCACGTTGCCGGCCACGCCGAGCCCCCCGAGGGTATAAATCTTCCCGTCGTAGACCAGGCTGTTGTGCCGACAGCGGGGGACCGTCATTCTGGACACGAGGTTCCAGTTGTCGAGCAGGGACATGTAGCACCAGACGTCGGCCAGCGTCACCCCTGACTCCATCCCACCTGCAGAACGGTGAGGTCCGGGGGGCGGGGGGTGAGGAGGGCCCACGCCAGGCAGCCCCGCTCAGGTCAGGTCAGGAGGAGGCTTTGCCCTCGGAATCAACACTCCCCGCTGGGCCGTCCTCAGCCCTGCTGTGCGCCCCGCCCCGAGGGCCTCACCTGAGAGGTAGATGTTGTCCCCGGCACTCACTACACTGAAGAACTCGCGGTCGTAGAAGGGCAGTGAGGCCAAGGGGTACCACTTGTTGTTCTGTGGGTTCCAGCAGGTGACGGCCACCAGTGAGCGCTGAGTCATCCCCACCATCTGGCGGCCCCCAACCAAGACGATGACTTCAGCCACACCTGCCGGGACAGACGGACACACTTGGGACCCTCCCCCGCCACCTCCCACACTCGCAGCATCTGCACCCAGGGCCTCTCTGGGGGACCACCGGGAGTCAGGCCCACCCCAGGACACCTGCAGGGCTGGGGGCACGTCCTCCCAATACCTGCGGAGAGGCGGGGCCGGGTTCGGGGCGTCTGCATCTCCTGGCGGGCGTGGGGGAGCATGTGGTAGCGCTTGGCCTCGTTGACCAGGTCCCGACACGCTTCCGACGACTTGATCAGCTCCTCGTTGTCAACCACGTTGAGCAGGTAGCTGGGGTGGATGAAGGGGAGGCGCACCACCGCCAGGAGCTCCGCTGCGTACTGGGGCCGGGGGACACGGGGTCTGCTCAGACCGTGCAGCAGGCCAGCCCCGCGCGTGTCCTGAGACTGCACGCCGGGTGGTTCAGTCTGTGTCTGGCTGGGAGGACAGCCCCTCACTCACTGCCTCGGCAGAGAGAGAAAGCAGCCCCCAGCCCTGGCTGGTGTGGCTCAGTGGATAGAGAGCCGGTCTGTGAACTGAAAGGTCCCGGGTTCGATTCCGATCAAGGACATGGACTTCAGTTGCAGGCTTGATCCCTGGCCCTGGTCGGGCCTCATGTGGGAGGAAACTGATCAACGTGTCTCTCTCACGTCAATGTTTTTCTCTCTGTCCCTCCCCCTCCCTTCCACTCTCTCTAAGAATCACCGGAAAAATATCCTCCGGTGAGAACAACAACAAAAATAGGCAGCTCCCAGCAGCTGGGGGGTGACGAGAGGACGGAACGGGGGGGCGGGGGGGG